GTACAATTTTGTAATTTTATTGAATCTATTATGCCAAGATATGTAATAACTTAACCGGATCAGCCAAAAAATCATTTGGCTAATTTTTATTAGGTGTTTCAAAAATTATGATAATAACAGTAAGAAAAATTTTATTTCCAAAATAAAAGTAAGAATAAATCAAACAAATCTATTTCTTGGCATATTATGGGCGGCAAAGCCACCTACATGGTCATGTTCTAGGTACTAGTTATAAAAATAAAATGTGAAGATTACCACCCATCAAACATACTTGTATCCTATAAAATAGTATTTGTGCTTTGCCTCAACTTGTTGACTTGACCAAAAAAATTATTAACTAATGCCAAATCACAACATATATTTTTAATCAATTCTAATATACAACTATGTTTGATTGAATATATAACACACTTTAAATAATGTGATTCAAAACTGCAAGCAGGCGTGAGGTCGCCCACAAATACTAGTTGGTTAATAGAAATTACTTATTATTTATTAACTATAAATGACATAAGTCATAAAAAAATAAATGATTTTTTTATGACAAAAATGACTTGTCATATGACAAGATGTCATTTATTTTTAAATGACAATTTGCCATCACTGGTTTAGAGACTCTTTAAGGGTTAAAGTGACTCAAAAATTTAGTTGCACAGCAGATTTCACAGCAATAGTGCGTAGTTCTATTTCCTTCTAATTATTTTGGCCTCTAAGTTTGTACGCTGAACCGGGATTATTATTTATTGTTTAATTGTCTACGTGGAACATACATTAAATAGTCCTTTTACAAATACGAACATATAGTAAGTGCTAGTAACGCTAAATAAATGTGTAACGGTTTAACCGTCATAAACCGTTATTTTCACGTATTAATGAGTATTGTATGCACGTACGCATGTACGTACGTACGTACGAAAGTTTATTATTGTGTCTGCCATCAATAGAAATTGGTGTAATTTACGTAGTAAATAATCATTTAAAAATATGTTACGATGACATTTTTTCAAAATTTCCATTTTTCAATGCTTTCGCTGGTTTCCTGCAAATAACATGTTCATGTCTAAGAGTCGAATTTTAATTGTTTTATTAATAGTGATCAAGTTCTTGGCTGTTAATTTTGTTTTAGCCGAAAATATAAATCCAAGAATTGGTGAAAGATTGGAAAAACGTCAAGGTCCAAAAGGAAAAGGAAAAACAACACCCGATAATACTAACACACCACCCGATAATCCTAACACACCACCCGATAATCCTGGTGTTCCTACAGAAACTACTACTACTAGGCGTGGATTTAGACCTTCTACATCTCCAAATAGTATATATTCGAATTATCCTTACGATGGGTTACCAACCTGTAAGTCCGCAGATGATCCTGAATGCATTCCACCAAATGGGTAAATTTTTAATTCTGTTATGTGATTTATTAAATTTTTAATTTTTTAATATATAAACACTAAATTTTATAATTCTGTTATGTGATTTATTAAATTTTTATTTTTAATTTATAAACATTATTTCATTCTATTTTTTTTTTTT